TCTGCCTTGGTTTCTTCCTTGTCCCTTTTCTCTTGGTTTCTCCCTTCTCTTTTCTCTTTCCGTTTTCAAACCCCCCCTTTCTTTCTTGGTTTCTCCCTTCTCTCTTCTCTCTCCGTTTTCAAACCCCTCTGCCTTGGTTTCTTCCTTGTCCCTTCTCTCTTGGTTTCTCCCTTCTCCCTTCTCTCTCCGTTTTCAGACTCCTCTTTATGTCCCTGGCTTCCTTCTCCTTCTCTCCCCACTCCCCGTTCTCATCCTCCTCCTCCTCTACCCGGCGTATATTCACCATATAAGACGCACTAACTTTCCCAGCCCTGTTTTGGGGAAGAAAAAGTGCGTCTTATATGGCGAAAAATCTTCAGTTGAAAGATAGAGCTGGACATCTCACCAGATCTGTCACACACCCCTGAACAAGCTTTCTGGCCTTAGATACAGTAGTAAACAATGATACTTTATGAGTTCTGAAATTAAAATTAATTCCCAGTTTTGTTTCTGCATCTGGAATTGGGAGAGGGGTAATTGCAGATTTATTATTATTTTTGTCTCAAGCAACAGACTGTCTTTGGCTAACCCTGTAGAGACAGGTGATTCAATCTGAACAGGGCTTGGAAAATCTGGAGAAGTTAATTTTACAGTACAGACTTAACCAGAAAAGAAAAAGAAATGATGGAATTATTACTAAATAGACTAGAAAAGACCAACAAGGTTAGTGGTTCTTTGATGGAACCAGCATGTTGAGAGAAAAACTACAGAAGCAATACCAAGTAGTTGCTTTATATAGAGATAACAGTTTGTAGTCTTGTGTTTCTCATTTTCACACACTGTCAGAGGTTCCAGAGCAATCTTTCACATGGTCATTTCCCTTGTGAGTGCACTGTATATTTATAGTGTTTATGTGATTATTTAGAAATATAAAAGCTGGGTGCCTAGAAGCAGAGAAATAACCAAAAATAGTGATGGTTTTTAAAGAAGCATCTGTTCTTTCCAAACGCAACTAGCCAGAGCTCGAAAAGATATCTTTTGCCATATAATTCCCTAATTGAGGGAATCTGAGACTTGTAGTATGTAAAAAAATAGCATCCC